TGAACATTTCGCATTTTTCAAATTGAGAATTTTACTACAGGCTAAGTAGTTTCCTGAAAATGTATTCCATACAACCAGTAAAGCTAGAACTACCACGAAAAAAAAATATGAAGTGAAACGTAGTCAATTGATGGTTCCACATCTATTGTCTGACAACGTGTTATAAACCGTATTTCAAGCATGAAATCGGCCATAAGCATCATTTGGAATTAGCAATTTGACAACGGTGAAGCTTCAATTTCATTCAGTCGGCTTTTACCTTTAGCTTATAAAGCGTGAATCAAATATAACTTATAACGTAAACCATAAACAGAAATGCAACCAAACTGGGGGAAAATATAACCTTTGCAGCTGTGCCACATAATATGAAGCGCGGGGCGAAAATGACTGAGTTATTAAAGTTCGTTTCTTCAAACCATCTTGCGTTAAATGCGACACATGATACATTATTTGGGCAAGCCATGGACATTTCACGCTCTAGAAATTCCTATTAAAGAAAGTACAGATAAAGGTTGTATCCTTAATAAAATTGCATATGTTTTGCAACGAGCACTTGTTTATGCCATTTTTTATTGTTTCTATTTTCCATGTACGAAAGAGGTTATTGCGGCAAAACCCTTGCACTCTTTAGTATGCAATAGTGTCTTTACGATCTTCCATTTAGGATTAATGAAAGACATTTATTTTACGAGCAATTAATAAAACCAGTAGCCAGTCTACGCTTATCGTCATGGTTGGAAAGTAAATCGGCAGCCATCGACACAATTCGCAATACAAATTATCAATCATGAGCATCATCATGATGCTGTATTGGCTTCAAATTGAGCCGTACTGTCATTTTGGAGTAATTTCGAGTAATTTCCTGTGCACTATATATTTCTAAATTTTCTACAAGTGCGCTGTGAAAACCCACCCCTATATTTTTTTGCTCATAAAGCTTGATGATTCCGACTCCCCCGGGTACACTTTTCGGATCTCGCGTGCATTGATGGATGGATTTGAGCATCAAGTGCACGGTCGTTTATATCATCGCACGGGTGGATGTATCATTTATCTTCGTGTAGATGATGTTAAGTCGCGTCCCTCCCTCTCACAATGACAAGGATAGATAGGGGACACTAAGTACCTAATTGCTGAGCAGATTCTGAAATAACAACTCATTAAACGTGATAAAGGGACCAGCGCTCCATCTTTTGGTTTGCTCAACTGTAGAGTGAGTATGTTGACTGGACTGAAGGCAGCATTTATTTCCAAAATGCATGAGACTTTAAAAACTGATTTTCGGAAAGTTCGTCTCTCAAATGATATCTCTGGCAATTGAAAGTTGAGTACACTTTTGATATAAGTGCATACAAAACTTGATTGCAGTGGCAATATAAGTGCAACCGAACGCTTTAAAAGTTATATCTCATCCAAAATGAAACGTGTTTGATCTTCAGCTTGATGATATTATACACACGTTCAGAACTTTATTTTGAAGTGGTTGTGAGAAGAATATAAAAAATGGCAAGGAGAGGTCGTTTAATGGAGGGATGAATAGAGATAAGATGTGACAGCGCAGTACCACTTAGCTCATTGGTGGTAGCAGGAAATCTGAGTATTTTGCCAGATGCACACAGTTTATCATATCCGTCCGACCACCAGAGGCGATTCGATATATTTAAACATGTTCTATTTCAATTCTTACATCTTGCAACCAAACATCTTCACATTTAAAAAAAGTATGTCGGACATCATTTTCCAAAAGGTAGGTTTCCTTTAAAAAAAAAAAGAAGAGTTACATCAGCAATAAATCATCAGTAACTCTGTAAAAGGAATACATTCTTTTGTTTATCTGTACATTTTTGTGTTGGTGTTTATCTTCACACCGTAGCTCTATGGATTGATCAATAATTCCTTGAAAGCACTTTGGATGTCTATATAACACCGTGGATGGACCTGTCGCGTATTGCTTCACACTTGCTTACAGTGGGCGCTGCCCACTGCAGGGTATCTACTTCCTAATGTCTGCAACTCGGTTCACACACAACACGATCACACAGCTGCACTAAAGGTTGCAAAGTGCATCTCAACTCCTTTTAGTAGCACTAGCACTCCAGGAGCCACCAGTACCTCAGAGACTGCCTGTCATGTGACGAGATGGGATCAGAATTTAATTGGTTGGACCAGGAACAAGAGTTCCATTCACAGGTGCTCGTATATGGAGCGATTTTAATGAAGAGTAACCCCGTGGCACTTTTGTAACGTGTCGGTGCTTGATCGACACAAATCCGTGAAACATCCCCACCCGCAGGCTGGGAGGACACGCCTCCGCAAACAGGGATCATACAAACCATGATCTCACGAAAACCTGCCTACAGGGAGTAGGTTGTATCTACAAGAAATAAAAAAGAACCTTATAAAGCACATCGTAGCCAGCGGGTGTGCATTTTCATCTCTATTTACAACGTGGAGTTGTGAAGAAGCACCACCAGAATGTGATCTTACTGTGTTGTTATTCCAAAATTAAGTGGTTCTCAGAAAGAATAACCTTACAAAATCCCCGAAGATAATGTCACAGTCATTCACTGCCACGAACATCACCCCCAAGATGCAGCCAGACATGATGATGCGTAAGCAGAGGCTCGATCATCAAACCCTGCAGTAAATATTAGTTTCTCGTTGAACAAGTAATATGGAGCGGCTGTATTAAAGGGACCGTGGGATAAATTTTTCTTGGAAACATCTTTTTTGCAACTTTCTACTCCTTTTAAACGTATGAAAACTATTTGACATCCCTTTTTGGTTAATTTATTGAAAGGTGTCCTTCTTTAAACATTTAAAATGTTCCATGTTTTCCCTGACAACTGAAGGCGCTGTTGCTGTGATGGCATATCAGGAAGACACCGTTCTGTTTATGGGTTTTCTGTTCAAATGGTGATCCAAACATTATTTTGCTCACTCAAAACATTTGTGAGAAAAGTTTGCTCATTGGCTTACCGTCTTGTACTGAAACAACAACGAATCAACAAAGGAAATAAAATTACGTAAATATCCAAAATACTGGCAACATTGGGTGCTACAATAGCTATAACATCAGGTTTCTGCCTGAAATGACATCAAACTTTTGCTCAAGGGGATGTAACTTTGCATTAGCATAAAACTAACAAGGCACTAAAATACCGTTGAAAATGGTCAAATGGAAATTGAAAACAAGATTAAATGGGACACAAAGGGCAACATCTCATGTGCCCTTCAAAGCTGTGTGAGCTGCCTCAACACTTTTGACGTAATAACACATTACTGGGGATATGAGAGCGATTTCCGATAACTGGTGAGCTAAACTGTAAATGTAACGGAAGGCAACATTTTCCCCCAACAACAGCTCGGCTTAGAAATATCTCTCAGCGGATAGTTTTGGATGAATTTCTACTGCCTATCACGGATAATGCAGTACTTCTCGATTAATACGAATGCAAGTTTCTTTGTTTGTCAACATTTGTATTCATCCTGCCTCTTCATTTGTTTTAAGTGAAGACCAAAATAAAACCCAACTCATGGGTATTGTCTAATTGTGGGTTCCCCATCATCATACGAACTTACATTTAAAAATTGATAGGATCGTATAAAGTATTTTAATGGGTAAATGGGTAAACCATAATTTAATTTGTTATCCACTCCATTGTCTTATGCTATTATTCAATCTTACACAGTTTAATTAACGATCGATTTTAATCCAAAGAAGGAAACCTTTGTAAAAAAAAAAAAAAAAAAACCTACAAAAAACACACACCCAAAAGATACACACTATAGTCCAACGTACGTCGACAACCTTCTATGTGTTTGTACGTCATGGAACAGAATCATAAGACGCCATTCATGAGCGATTTTCAATCCTAGAAACGAGGACAGCCAAACGTTGCCGAGTAACTCTGTCAACACTCCCCCGGATCCTACCCTAGATAAGCCTACAAGGTGGCGGTATAAATGTCATTGAACGCCTCCACTATCCCCAAACAAAAAGCCATCTCTAATTCCAGGAAAACTGACGGAGCTATCAACTCATCGCTGGCCGGATGGCCCAAACTGGGATGATTGGTGGCCGGTAATCTTGGATGATCAATTTTAAAATCTGAGGGGACGCTGATGAAAATAAAAGAGGTCAGAATCTTCAACCCGACCCGATAGCGCCCGCTCTCTGTCTCACATAAACACCGCGGTCTAAACAATGTCTGCTACACTTGTCGCAAGCAAAATTAGATCTCTTTCTCCTGTTTTCTTCCTTTCTGCATTCGGTCCACCATTTCTCGACCGACATTGTGATTTGTAGGTGTAGTTTCTGACTGATTACGCGCCCAGATAAACGGACAGAGCGTCCATGTTTGAGCAAGGACTTTCACTGATGCGCACTCCTATTTAGACTCACTTATGGCAAGAATATAGACGCTTGTAAAGAGGTAGGCCTATACCACCCACAAGGTAAACTTATTCCTAAGTTTGCCGACACCCTGCAGTTTAATAATGAGCATCACTCAGTTTAATATATATTGTGTACATATTTATTCAGTTTTTCGAGAAAACAAATTTGGAAAAAAATGAATGATTAACCCAGTTTTTAGTTATCTTATTACCGAAATTAGTGTGATAACCGTCTATTCACTGTAGCGTGCGTAATGAAAAACACGCTTTGTTATGGGGAAGAAAGCGAAATCAAGATTTTTGCACTCTTTGAGACTGACTATTTCCCTTCCTATACTTTCATCCATTGGTGGTCACCATTCTCCACCGTTCCATGTTCAAATACAGGATATTGGGCTTTTATATTGACACGCTCTAGTAAGATGTGGACCGTGATCACACAGAAGCCATGGGCAATCAGCAGGTCTATTTACCCGATCGGGCGGTGCGGCAAACCGGTGGGACGGACAATAGGCAAGGTTGAACGGACTCACTCTGTGTACACATCGTTAGGCATCATTAGCTGCCAAATCGGCTATGGATAAAGGCCCAATAACCGAGAAATCATTACAGCGTTGGTCATTTGGCTTGACGAGTTCATCACAAAATTGGAATAAGACGTCTCCTCCGTTCGCTCACAAGAGACCTCCATTCAGACGCCATATTTTCTTAAATTTAATAAATAACCAGAGGCGAGTGCGATCTCTGAGATCGAATTACGCTAATATACGCGGAGGCTACCAGTATGAAATGGGTCGTGTAAGTGCACCGCAAGAAGACCCATGTATGGTAGGCTGCCATTTGGAAATAGCTTTGATTTTCTTGGAGTCCCATTTCAATATTGTGGGAAGGGAAATCGTGTCAGTGGGTAAATATTGACCACTTTTAGAGTCGCAAACTTCGAAAATATACGACAGTCTCAATTGCCTAGTGTATTGAAGATAAAAACTGAAAGAAAACAAAAGGTTTGCGAACACATTTGAAACAAATGTTAAAATTCCCGACGATTTTTCATAAATGATTTCAGACGCGAAATGGGGTGTTACACTTTCCACACGCTCCCAATGTCTTGCTCTGGCCTTCGAAACACCCAGATTTAAAATTATTAAAAATCGAAACCATTGACAGGTGATCATTTCGGTTAAACGCTCCTGCTATTTGAAGAAATGTAAATTGCATCAGGTTATCATCACCGTAATGGCTAATGCATGATATTTTCCTTGCTCATATGTTTTACTATTGTCCTTTGAGTGACTTAGTCACTTAATCGACTGACCGACTCAATGGAAATAAAAGATGTTCTAAAAATTGAGATACCAACCTGTCTTACAACTATAAGTAACCCGCTTGCCTGTTTCTTCCCTTTTTGGCTTTTCTCCAGATGCTGAGAACGACACTTGTGACCTTTTTCGCCGTGCTCCTGGTCGGTGACATGTTGGTAAGGGCACTGCCCGTGGCCGACAGCGGCGCGGATAACATCCTGGACCAGCTGCTCAATCAGAACCTGGTGGAGCGGCGTAGCCGCAAACAAGTCGCGGGCCACTGCGTCTCAAAGTGCGTCTCCTGCTCTAAGTATGTGGGGATGATCGCCGAGAAATGCATCAAGGGATGTATTCAGAAGCCAGCTACAGGAGACGTTAATAACTCCGAGGTCGCGGCCTGGACCGCCTGCGAGTCATTCCTGTACCGCTGAGATGCCCACATTATTCTCATGACTGTTTTTTTCCCTTCTTTGTCAAAACACCAAAATCACATATTTTGACCAAAGCGACTGTCTATCACTCCTGAGTACCTTCTGTGGAGATGCTGTTTTCTTTTCATAAACTTGGATCTTTGGCATCGTATTATTCTTTAAAAACTAATTAATAAAGATTAAAGTGCTAGTCAAAATCAGACAGAACTTGGTGTCGAAATTAAAACTACACCTTTTTTTTTCCTGCTAAAATGTAAACTTTGGGACTCTAAGTTTGAAAACGTTTCAAGGTCAAAATTATTGACAACTGAAAATTAAACTATTATCACGTTGTCGTGATTTATTCCAGTTTCTGTCTGATTTTGACGGCAAAAAATTATACATAATAAACATTCCCAAATGTTTCTCTAAGTGAAACGAAAGTTTAAAGACGCCATGTTTAAATAGTCTTTTGAATTGACGGTTGCAAATACATCAAATCATTTACAATACAGAGTAATGCAGTACTATTAAAACATGCATGTACATTGCAGTATGATGAGTTCGTTCCTACTTTTATCAGTAATTAAATCACTTTCGACATCAGAACCATCAAAGATTCGAATGACGAAGCCTGTGTGGGCAAACTGTTCCACAATCTTCTAGACCTTTCTGCCCCATAATTGATCATGGAAGATTATGTTTAAATCAGTTTAGAAAAAAGTGTACATTGAGCCCCTCTCAACAGAAGCAGAATTAAAAGGACTATATAAGAATTGAGGGATCGACCTCGGTTGTAAAGGGGTGTATCTTTGTAAATGCTAAATTTATTTACTACACAAATGATTTCCCAGGAGAAGTCTTTACGAACAGTGCACACGACTTGCTTGTGTATTTTAGCTTAAATCTTATACATACAAAAAATGAATCAAATTTTAAATTTCAACGGCATGTCGGTTTGGAAACCTTAGTATAGATTCCATTAGTTTAAGCATTAGTTTTATTTTCGGATCAAAATAAAGTTGAAAGCTTTCACCAATTGAGGTGTGCATGTCGTTGTAGAGACTGTTTGGGTTCAGATACAAACAAATGTAACATTTCGTTTCTTCTTATTCAACAGGTTAGAATTAAAAACAAGTAGGAAAGTCTCGTGTTGCCCCCGATACAACTAGATCTAGACCCGTAATTGACAGACACACTACCAAATAATGCAACCTGCCATGGAACAGATGGTCGGGTATAGCCGTTCTTTTCCAAAGTCGTGATCGCCAAAAGGCAATTTTGAAACCCCCACATTCTGAAGTCGTGTCTGAAAAGCCAAATTGACAGAGTCTGGACCGCTCAAAGAACTCTGAAGAAGCTGACGAAATGGGACGCGAAAACCTTCAAGCACACACTTGACCCGGGGGCTACGATTTCGTCACATTCAAATCCAAGCAATTTGGAGATTTTGAGTGAATTAAGGAATGTACGTTGTAAGTTACTGAGAAACATTTCAACTTCTTTTTTGCAAGAAGGTGGATCAGATGGCCCGATTTATTCATCCACTTACATGTTTGATAGATAATACAAATGTATGTCTCTTTTTCGCCCTGTTATTATCTGACTAATTTTTTTTTAAAGGCCAGACAATAAAACTTCAGTGTTAAAGCTCAAATGAAGCACATGGTTGTGTGAAGTGTTATTTTGAAATTAAATTTTACGCGGATGTTCACAGTCGCGTGACTAAGATGAGATAAGCAACACAGGATTCACATATTGCACATGAATACGCGCAAATAAAACATTTTGAGAAGTTTCAATCCTAGAAGCGAGGACAGCCAAACGTTGCCGAGTAACTCAGAGTATGTCATGAGAATGTGGCTATAGGGCCATCGCAGATTTGTCCTTAGAAAAAAAATATAGGTAGAATGCCAAGCAATTTTTCAAATTTTCAAAATGGCTGCCATTTCATTTACTCTGTTCTATGTAGTCGGAAACATTTTAGGATGGCTCGTCATATACATGGAAACATGATGGGGGAGGGATCGGGAATTTTTTTCTGATTCTAGAGAATGACACTAAAGTCTGCCGAAATCAGTCTGTCGTTTAGATCATAGAGCCAGGAATATTTCATCAATTACCGAACAAAGAGCCTGTCCGTGGAATAACGATTACCATTCCCAATTCAACTTGGACTTAAGCAAGATTGATGGCTTTTTGAAATGAGAGTTAGGTTATTAGAAGTAATTCTTCGGAATGAGTTTCCTTAACAATACTCGGAGCTTTTTAATCTCCACTCGCTTTGAGACCGTCTCTTTCTATATACGGACTCGTATTATATCCTGCTGGTGTCTAGAAACTGTATGAAAGATGACCTTGAAATCAGATCCACGTATGTTTGCTTTCAGAATTTTCCAATTTATTTTAAATCCGGACCGCCGACGAGCTCTGTGCCTCACAAAAATGAATCAGCTTTCTGATCTTTCTTAAATGACTGCTAACATTGGATTTCCACGCATTGATGGATTGCTATATATGGATTTTATACACCTGTATTCATTCTCGGCATTTGCATGTACGTTATCGACTAAGTTTCAGTACTGCTCCAAAACAAAATCAAGTAAATGTCGAATGTGTACTCGAAATTATTGTTCAACCGAATGTAAGTCAGCTTAATTTAAAAACCATCGAGTAAATTCGCGTGTTTGTTTTAGTTTAAATTCAAGGAATTTTTTCCCATAAAAGCAAAAAAAAATCAAGTAAAATCGCGTGTTTCTTTTACTTTAAATTCAATGAATTTTTTCCCCATAAAAGCATCAAGTGACGCACATGTTCGATTTCAATTTCCATCTAATTCCAAAACCTTTTTTTTTTCAAAGCCGCATGCAGTGTCCAACTATACCACAACTAAACACCAATCACTTTGTGTTGACGTCATAGCATGTTGAAGGAATATTAGCCATCAGCGAATGAAATATTTAGCATTACGCTGTTCAGGGCATGTCAGGCCCATGTGCTACCATAAGCGGGAAACAAGATTGCTCAGAATCTATAACAACAAAATGAAGCTATATATAAAAATAAGTTTGGTGCATTTGTCGAAACCTTTCGGTAGTTCAATTTGTGTGTGTGTGTTTGACGTCACGAAAAGAATAGGGTTTCATTGATTGCTTAAAAGCCTGACTATTTATCGACACACTAACTAGTCATACAACATACAATTTCAGATTTGCCGCCGTCAGATATTTGCAGTGGGCGCGCGAGGCTGGAGGTGGAAAACTGCATTTCAACGCTAGTGGGCGCTAATTGTAGACTCAAGTATCGTTTCTCAGGCCGCGTCCGAATTTCTTGTCTAGCGCTATTAATTGTCTTAGTACGGCAGATAGGTGATGTGGTTGTGCCTTTGATGATACAAGCATGGAATTTGGCACACAGTCAGAGTACGTCATGAGAAAGATATTTGGCTAGTGGGCCATTGCAGATTTGTCCTTTGAAAACAATATAGGTAGAATAACAAGCAATGGCAGCCATTTTCAAAATTTGAAATCTTGCTTGTTATTCTACCTATGTTTTTTCAAAGGACAAATCTGCGATGGCCCTTATAGCCACATTTCTTTCTCATGACATACTCTGACTGTGTGCCAAATTCCATATTATTCCACCAAATATTCCCGGCATCTGCCCACTCTTGCATGGGCGTCGCCAGGATTTTTTCTAGAGGGGGGCACATTTTTTTTTGCCAAAAAATGCTTGTATTTCTCAACACATTCTCGATTTATCAGTTTAAGAGGGGAGCAGGGACATTTTGCCCCCCCCCCCCAACTCATTAAATTTACACCACTTTGTATTTGCGCCTCTTTTTCTTTTCTTTTTTTTTTCTTTTCTTTTTCTTCCTTTTTTTTTTTTGGTTGCTTTTCCGGGGGGGGGGGCAAGTGCCCCCCCTTGCCCCCTCCTCGCTACGCCCATGCACTCTTGTGCAACGTAATGTAAAAAATCGGTCCTCTAATCCGTTCACCGTTCCCAACAGTCTTTCATCAGCTGTGAGATAAAAAAAAAACGTTTGTGAGAAATAATGTTTGTGAAAAAATATCGACAAGGCAAGCAACAACAGTGCGTTCTCATTCTAAGTTCTAGAGAGATGAAAATGAACATGTACAGATTCAGGAAAAGTAAAGGAGCAGAAATACTTGGGTAGGAAAGTACAAGTCGGCCATAGGCGCCCCCCCCCCAAATAATTAAACATCAAGCTGAATCATCTACTTTAGAATGAGAAACCTTTTTTCTCAATGCGAAACATTAATTGGGAAAATAATGAGGTCATAGTAACTGTTTAATTGAATAAGTTTGAGTCTCATCCACAAAGAAGTTAGGCAAGGCCACGTGAAGAGTAAATTTTAGCCCAACAAACGGACACCTCCTTTTCCCCTTTTTCGGTTTTCGGGGCGAAATAACATAATGTTATCATTTTCACATGATTTTCCATTTAGTTTAATTAGGGTAAATAAATATGCCAGTTAGTAACTTTGCGAATTTTGTGTGGGCTGGACAATAATTCTCCGCAGTTTTTTTTAACAGAACAGTGCTTTTAACTTAAAACTTGGAACAGACATCAACCCTGAAACATAGACATGCATACAAGGGGGACGTCATGATGACGTCATATATTATTAAATTACAAGGGATTTTAGTCAACTAATGGACCGATTGGTTTGAAAAAATAATGTACTCAATCATTACGAAGAATCGTGTGCACACTTTGTGATCTGATATGCCTTGATAAACGTGTTTGATCATGAAGTCACTTGACATTTACTTCCAGGATCAACAATAAGTCAAAGCTAGGTGAATTCAAAATATCAAAAGAAATGTCAATGTTAAAACAAACAGAATTTCTTGCAATCGTACCTCGCCAATTTTCCTCTCATATCTTAATGCAGAAACTTAATTCGCGCAGTGCAGACACGAACCGTTCCATGGTTAGCTCGGAGCAGAATTATAGTGTATCCATGCAAAGACCAAAATAAATTAAACAGTTATTTTTATATCATAAACATATGTTGCATAAACTCGAAGGACCTTAGAGGCTCCATCAAACTCCGTATTGCAGTATATCGATACTAATTCCACTTTCGAGTATATAGCATTATATTCAGCACCAAAAATGCGCCTCAAAAAGTTGTCGCGCATGAATATAGGCCTACAGAATATAGGTCAGAAACAAATTGAAATACTGTAAACAAAGATAAAATGGGTTTTTTTGCTCTTCATGATTTTGTTGACTGGCTGGCTTTTGAAAACAATGAAAATGATTAATTCAAATTCATGTTCATGAGTATAAAAAGCAGGAAGTACAATATTATTTTAAAGCATTTCTAGCAAAGAGTTGTAAACAATCCACCCTCCCATTTCAATTTGGCCTTCAAAAATCTTAATTGGTGTTTCCAAAAGCTGTCGTCCTATTATAGTTGAGTGACTGTATTCAATGGCAAAAGCCAATGAAAGAGGAAAGCGTCAATGGTGAACCAAACAGAATTTTTTCAAAACGGTTCAAGGGATGAAGATAAACCTTGTGCAATCATGTACCCCTGTTCAGAAAAAAATTGTGGATTTTTGTAACGTCATCATCTGCATCCCTTGAACCGTTTTGAAGTTCTGTCCACGGATCACAAAAAAGGTAAGTGTTCTTTCAGCAAAACGAACACAATTCACATAGGGATGTATGTCAAGTGTTTTCGTTTTGCTGAAAGAACACACACATTTTTTCCCCGTGATCCGTGGTCAGAACTTCAAAACGGTGTTTGTGTTTAAAATTCCGTACCTTTAAAAGTACATGAGTGATTGGAATGATTCTTGTACTAAAATAAAAGCTTGTGAATTGGGCTTTCATATCCTAGATTTCGAAAGTGCTACATGCAGAACTTCACTAAAAAAGTGGTACCGACATTTGGGTTTCGGTGGTTTTTTTTTTACTCACCCTGTAGCGTCGCGCCTCATCACCCTGCGTTTGTCACAGGACAAACGCCAAAACCACTATTGTTACAGTCAAGAAAGACGTCATCTTGAATGGGTGTTGATTTGACTGAATACCGAGATTGCTTTATAAACGTGATTTTTGAAAAATGGCTTCAATTTAACTTCCTAATTTCACATAGCTTTGTCAAGAGAACTGTAGGTTATTTACCTCCATTCTACAAATAACTCTCCGATTGAAATGTAGGTCCCCGAAGTCTATGCCAGGTTAAGTTCGATGTAGCGCTATAAAAACAAATCTATATCGAGTAAACGAAGATAATGGAAGTTCGACATGATAATGTGCAGTGGCGGCAGTGTTGGGCGATCGTTATGAAATTACTTTCGAAATGACCCTTTTATTTCGAAGATGCCATCAATCACATATTTTGTTAAAAGGGACACCACTGAGCCAGACAATTTATGACACGTTTTGCTCTTCACTGGCAGATTTGATTTAATGATGCTCTTTAAGTAGTAAACGATGGCAAATTCAAGTAAATGATTTCCGGAACCAATTCAGAATCGTGATGTGACTATTTCGTTTGAGTTTAGCACTTCGGCGATGATCAAGATCATGAACGCCATACCTATGTGTAGCTGTTTCACCAATTAGCAGGGGAAAACGGGGGTTTAATATGGGATCTGTTTTAATCATAAATAATTCCGA